CCCCAGCAAGGGGTATGGGCATTCTGGTATGACCATAAAAGAATGGGATACCCGGCCCATTCCCAAGTCCACTGTTCTTCAGGTAGTCCATGGATATTGTTTCATTCCCATGGCCCCCTGGACCCATGATACTTTAACAGGGGGCTATTGGGCTTGAGGAGCACTGAGTGTTGGGCTCCTGTATCCACCAAAAAACTGATGGGTTTCCCCTCCACCTTTAGGGTTACCCTAGGTTCGGGGAGGGGGGCCGAACCCTGTCTCCCCTAGTTACTATCTCCCGTCCCAAGGTTGAGTACCTTGGTGGGGCTTTTCTTATTGGGGCATTCTCTGGCCTAATGGCCTTCTTCCTTAAAATATGCACACTGATTTTTCCCTAGTCGAGGTTGCCCTCTTTTCTGAAAGTCTTCCTTACCTCCTTTCCCTGATGCTATCTGTCTCAGATGCCTCCGTCAGTCCTCTGGATCCGCAGTGGCAGCCAGCAGGATCCTTGCCAGGTCCTTGTTCTGCCTCCTTTCTGCCTTTATCTGTTTTTCCCTCTGCACTACCCTTATTATTGTACACTTTCTCGGCCACAGCTATTAAATCCCTTAAGCTCTTTTCACCCAGTCTCTCTACTCTTTAGAGGTTTTTCTTTATATCCAGAGCCAACTGGTTAACAAAAGCCATGGCCACTGCTGCTCTTTGGCCTCCGGGTCTAATGGAGTGTACCTGCAGAAGACATCCGTTATTTACTCCAAGAACACAGCTGGGCTTTCATTTAGTTCCTATTATCGTACACCTTTGCCAAATTAGTTGGCCTATGAGCAGCTGCTTTGAGACCTGCCAACAGAGCCTTGCGGTAAACCAGAAGCCTCCCCTTACCTTCTGCAGTATTATAATCCCAATCAGGCCAGGTCAGTGGATAGGCAGCATCAATCAGCGTCGGGTCAGTAGTAGGGATTAATTTCCTGGCTTCTGTTTGGATACATTCCCTTTCCTCTATGGTAAACAGGACCTGTAATAATTGATGACAATCATCCCAAGTGAGTTGCTGTGTGAATAAGACAGTTTCTAATAAATTAATAAGCTCCTTAGGATTTTCAGAAAAGGGAGCATTCTGGGTTCTCCAGTTGTAAAAGTCACTAGTGGCGAATGGCCAACAGTGATGGGGCTAGCTGCCGGCCTCATCTGTGGGGCCGGCGACTCTGAGGGGTAAAACAGTGGAGTCCCCCTCCAGTATTGCTGCCCTTCTACTCCTAGTCCCCTGAGCCGGTTCCCCCTGTGCCTGTGAAGAATCTGGTACCAGGGGTGCCAGTTCTGGAGGGGGTACATCCTGTGGAGGAGGTGGATAAGGAGGGGTAGGAAAAATTAGATCTTTTTTCTGTGCCTCCCTGTAAAACAGGGTACAGTGATGGTACTGATGGTTTGGTTTCAGGCTTAGGTGCATTCAGGGTTGTTTTCCGTTCTGCAGCCGTTAGCACCTCAGCTTTCTGTAAAGGAAGAAAAGACTTGACCCAAGGAGGGGGGTTATTAACTAAATCTCCCCAGACCATTATGTATGATATTTGATCCAAGTGTCCCATACATGGTTGAAGAATAATTTTCTCAACTGCATTAATGACAGCGGGATCAAAGGTCCCCTCCGAGGGCCATCCCAAGTTGGAAGTGGGCCATTGAGACCTGCAGAAAGTAATTAGTTTAGCCTTCCTGACAACAGAGAGGTTATGGGCTCGAGTCTTAACCTCTCCAAAATGTGCAAGAACCAGGTCCAGGGGTGTAGAGGGAGTCTGTCCCATTGCATCCATCTCAGTCACAGAGAAATAGACAACCAAAGACAAAACAGAGAGCCAGAAAGATACGCAGAAGGCGAAGTAGCAAATTCCCCCGCTGGTGTGGAAGAAAAACAAGACAGCAGCAAACTGCCGTGCCACGGGAGTGACCCACCTTGTCCTTTCACAGAAATCAACAGAGTCCGGGCCCTCCGTCCCCTCTTCCAGACCTCTGTGGTCACAGTCATCCAGCTCATCTGCTCCAACAGCTCCTGACCACACTGTTCACAAGTTTCCTCAAGGCTCAGAATAAAAGCTAGGACAGACATAGACAGGCACAACTAGAAACGAACAGACACTTACCGGCCAGCCAGGAACCTTCTAGGTCCTGGGGGTCTTGGGGATCCCAGAGGAGCCCCCAAGATGTTGTGCCCAGTTCACGAGACCCCAGAGACCACCAAGGAGCTGACCGCTGCAAACACACAAGGGTTTTTTTATTGTTGCAAGCTTAAGCTTGGGTCCACTCTGTCACCGACTCGGAGGATCTCAGATGTGAGACCCCTTGCTTTGGGAGACAGAGGTTTTTATAGGTTAAGTTCAGCAAGCAGAGGAGTAGGGGGTCTCCAGCCTGGCAAGCATCTGATTGGTTGCAGCTCAGTGCCAAACCATAAACTGCTGGCCTCAGGAAATCTGAAAAGATCTGGACTTTTAGTACCTTCCTGTCCCTGGTTAATTGACTGTTGGCGGGGGAGCTTTTCTGTATCCGTTCCAAGTATTGTGGTTTTTCTTAGAACAGGGCCCAGGGCTGGGTCAGTCCTCTGGAGGTTTTATCCAAGATGGACTCAGGTCTCTCAATATGTAAATGCACTGATGTCATGCAGTGCCTGCAGAAGTCAGAAGAGGGCATCAGATCCCCTGGAAATAATGTTACAGATGGTTGTTAGCCACCAGGTGGGTTCTGGATCCTCTGCAAGAACAGCCAGTACTCCTAAGTGCTGAGCCATCTCTCCTACCCCGTTTTTAAAAAATTTTGTATGTGTATGCATGTTTGTATGTGTACAGGTGCATGTGCATGTGTGTTCTGTGTGACTGTGGAGACCAGAGGTCAACCTCAGGTGTTCTTCCTTGGGAACCATCACTGAGCCCCAGGGATCTGCCTGTTTCCCCATCCCTGACAGACAAATGTACAACACCATACTTAGCTTTTTTTTTTTTTTTTGGAGACAGGGTTTCACTATGTAGTCATGGCTGGTCTGAAACTCATTATGTAGAAGAGACTAGCCTCAAACCTCACGGAGATCCATCTACCTTTGCCTCCTGAGTGCTGAGATTAAAGGTGTGTGCTACCATGCCCATCTACACCTGACTTTCTAACTTTGGAGCATTATTAATTACACCAACATTGCAACTACCCTGAACAAAATAAAAGCCTGACTCCTAAAATGAGATTTTAAGAGTGGAACCAAACTCAAAGACTACTAGTTCCCCGAGGTATCTCTTAGCTCCGTCTGTCTCCTTCAACCTGTCCAAATGGAGCTGTGTTCTCACCCTGTGCCAAAGGAACTCACTTGGGAACCCTATTTCTCCCATGGCCATTCCCCTCAACCCCCTGTCAGGCCACACCCATAATTTATTCAAAATGGTTTCTGCAGCTTCATTGGGGAAGTGTCAAGTTGAATTTCTACCCCACCCTTATCTCAATAGGCCTTTTCATCCCTAGTATTGATACAGGGGAAGGAGCATCCCCTAGAGGGTTCTTAGTCTCATCCATGAAAGAATTTGAGAATGGACTCAAACAGATGCTTTAGGACAATTTTACTCGATTTTTAAAGAAAAACCCTCATGGTAGGTAAGCTGGTATCTCAGCAGCTGCCTTGAGGAAGAGAGTGGAGAGGAGAAGGAAAAAGGCCATGAAGCTGTGCAGGTTCAGAGCCTGATGGAGCTCAGACACGTGGTGGACTGGCAACCACATGGTGGGGAGAAGGAGGCTTTACAGAAAAAGTAAAGAAACATAAGATGCTAGGACAGCCCAAAGCTTTAGAGAAAGCATGTTTAGAAAAGTGATATGAAGAAGCAAAGGAAAGATTATGCTTTTTGAAGAATTCAGAAAATCAAGCAGATTTACAGAAAGCTACATGACTGTGGCTGTGTCCAGAAGGAAATTTTTGCTACTCTAACCGTATCTTATTCATCCAACGTCAGGCAGTCTTCTATCTTGCACTGTTTCCAATGGGTGGAGATACTGCTTGCAGTACTTTGATATGTTAATCCTCAGACTTACCCACATTCACTCATTATCTCTTAGGGTAGAGTATCAAACTGGGAGATTGCCAAGGAGAGGCCCTGGTCATCAGACTGAAAGGATGGCTTTGCTGGGGTCCATTAAAAGTCATTAGTCCACATTATGTTCATTAATAAAAGTCCTTCCACCAACCCAGGTTCTTGTACTTGCATGGCAAACCTTTTACCAGCCCCTTATTATTCTTTCTTTTTAACCCCATTGTGTTTCACTCTGTAGCCCAGGCTGGCCTCCAACGCTGGGCATTCCTGGTTCAGCCTCTTGAGTGCTAGGATTATAGGAAGGTGCTACTATGCCAGGCTCTTAAAGGCTTTCTACAAGCCTGCTCATGTCCTTGTAAATACTATATTGAGCTGTGTTTAATGATCCCATCTCAATGTATTGCCTAGTTCCTGCTAAGACTTACATAGATGTAAGAGAAAGATGAAGTACAAATTCATGGTGTAATTACACAAGTACTCTCTGGTTGATAAAATTAAGATGAAAGTACAAAGAAAAACAACAAATGCCTGTGTGTTAAATGTATTACTGAGCCGGGCATGGTACATGCCTGTGACCCAGCCCTCCCTGGGTGGTGGGGGAGGAACTGAGAATTCAGGCCAGCCTGAGCTGTAAGACACTATCTCAAAAAAGAAAAGAAAAACTGATTACATTGCTGTGTGTACTACATCTAATGATTGTGAGAACTACTGCTAATGGTCCTAGTTAATCTTCTGTTGCTGCAATAAAACACTGACCAAAACCAACTTGTAGGGGAAAGGGTTTATTTGGCTTACACATTCCGATCACAGTTCATCATTGAGGGGAGCCAGGGCAGGAATTCAAGGCAGGACCCTGGGGCAGAAGCTGAAGCAGAGCCTGTGGAGGAGCACTGCTCCCTTGGCTAGCTCGGTTACACTCCTAGTATAATGCAGCTCCACGTGCCAAAGGATGACACCACCCACAGTGGGCTGGGCCCACCTAAACCAATTAGAAATTAAGAAAATGTCCCCCACAGACCTGGCCACAGGCCATTCTGATGGAGGAAGGGCTTCGCCCGAGGTTCCCTCTTCCCACGAGTGTCAAGCTATAACATTCCACCCCTTGTCAACTTTGACACTCAAATACATCACTTTAAACCATAACCTTTCCTTTATTGTTGTCCCCAAGATCTCATGTTAATACCACAATATAAAACCAGTCTTTTTGAGACAGGGTCTCCCTGTAACCCCAGCTGACCTGGAACTCACTATGTAGACCAGGCTGGCCTTAAACTCACAGAGATCTGCCTGCTTCTGCCTCCCAAGTGCTGGGATTAAAGGTGTGCTCCGCAATACCAAGTTTAAAGTTCCACAGTCTTTAAAAATTCCAGTGGTTTAAAAGTTCAGTGTACCTTCAGAATATCCAAAGTCTTAACTGTGGACTCCAGTAAAATCAAAAACAAGTTAGATACTTTTGGGTGTTTTTTGTTTTGTTTTGCTTTTGTTTATTTGTTTTGGGGTTTTTTGTTTGTTTTTATTGTTGTTTTTGTCTTTTTGAAACAGGGTCTCCCTGTAATCCCAGCTGACCTGGAACTTGCCATGTAGACCAGGCTGGCCTTGAACCCACAGAGATCCGCCTGCCCCTCCCTCCTGAGTGCCAGGACTAAAGGCATGCACCACCATGCCCAGCCCAGCAAACATTGTGGTTTTCTGTTTGGGTTTTCTTTTTTTTTTGGTCCCTTTGAGACAGGGTCTCCCTGTAGCCCCAGCTGGCCTGGAATTTACCATGTAGTCCAGGCTGGTCTTGAACTCACAGAGATCTGCCTGACTCTGCCTCTCCAGTACTGGGATTAAAGATGTGTACCACCACACCCAAATACTTTGTTTTCCCAAGAGGGATGAACACTTAGGCAAAACAGAAGTCTAGCAGTGTAGCTCCAAATTTTGTAGGGCAGGTCCTGATCTGGGACTCACAATCCTCTAGGATCCAAAGGACTTAGGGAGCTCCACTTGTGCTATCAACTGCAGCACACACAGCTTGTCTCCTAGGCTCAGGCCAGCCTCACTCCACCCTGCTGCTCCCTCAGTCCTTGGAGGTCACCCCACAGCTCCAGTATGCTGGGGTCTCCACTGCAACTGAGGCTGCACCTTCACCAGTTGTGTCTCCTGGCCTTTCACAGTGCCAAGCCTTAGCTGCTCTCCACTGACCCCTTCAGGCCTTCCTTCAAAACCAATACCAATGTGGGAGACTCTTACACGTTGCCAAATTCAGCTTCCAGTTTGAGATGCAGCTTTGTGTCCCGTGCCCCACCCACAACTGGACTACAGTTTTTGTGTGTTGACCCTAAGGAAACACTTCTCAGAAGATTTGATTTCAGTGATGCTGGCCTCTTATCTAGTCACAGCTGACTTTCAGCTGCAGCTAACCAACATCCATTGTCCCAGTAAACACAAAGGTTTCACTTCTACAGAATCTTGCCCCCACCTGCGGGGACCCTGTACAGGTAAGGCTCGAGGGGGACCACTCCCTGAAAGGAAAAACGGGCGAGAAAGAAGAGACGGAGCCCAAGCAAGTCCACTTGTCAAGGGCCGCTTTATTGTACTGCAAGCTTTCCTTATATACAGTTTGTATTTAGAAGGGGTTGAAGAAGTTGGTCAAAGGTTACAGCATTCTTATGGGTATGGGAGGGGGACTGAGCAATTCAGCAACGTGACTGACCACCAGATGTTCCAAGAGATTACTGCATGACTCTTTTTTCCGAGAACTGTTTGCAAGAGGAAGAGAAAGATAACCTTGCCATAAATTCTTTCCCAAGGTTACTTGTGTAAGCAGAATATCCTGCTTAAGTCAACTGTTTGTAGAGCTATATTATATTTTTTGGTAATGAATGTTGTTTCTCCAGCTCCCGACAGAATCTCAGTTGAAATAAATCACATTAACAACCCCAAGACAGTCTGTAAGAGACTTCACAGATCAGGCCTCCATTGTCTGCATCTCTCTAAACATTCCTATCTTCCAGGCTCACAACAACTCATTAAGCTCTGAGCACTCAACAGCCTCTCCAGCCCAAAATTTCAAAAATCCTTCCACAATCCTCCCCAAAACAACATAGTCCATCAAAGCAATATCTTACTTTCTGGTACCAGTTTCTCTATTAAGTTTCCTCTCACTGTGATAAACCACTTTATTTCATCTTACAGTTCCCTCATTACAATTCACTGAGAAAATTCAGGGCAGGAACTCAAGGAAAAAACCTGGAGACAGGATAATCCCACATGGCAGCTAACAACTGTCTGTAATTCCAGTTCCAGGAGCTTTGACAACCTCTTCTGTCCTCCGTGGGCATGCATGACAGGGGTGCACTTACCTACATGCAGGCAGTACACAAATACACATAAAATAAAAATAATAAATAAAATATTTTTTAAAAAACAAAAAAAACCTGGAGACACCAGGAGCTGAAGCACAGACCATATAGGAGTGCTGTTTACTGGCTTGTTCCTCTGGGCTGAGCTCAGCCTGCTTTCTTATATAGCCCAGGACCACCTGCCCAGGGATGGCACCATCCATTAGGCTGGGTCCTCCCACATTACTCAGCAATCAAGAAAATGCCTCACAGACTGCCACAGGCCAGCCCCAGAGAGGAAAATCCCCAGTTGCAGCTCCCTCTTCCCAGGTGTCAAGTTGACAACCAAAGTCAATCATGACATTCCACCCTTTGAATTATTCCGTTGTATATTCTGCTTTAACATTTTTTATTACACTTACTTGTATTGTGGTGGGGGATGTACATACGCCCTTGTGTGCATGTGGAGGTCAGAATACAGCTTGCAAGAGTTGGTTCTCTCACTACCATGTGGTTCCCAGGTAGTCAAGTTTGGCAGCAAGCACCTTTACCTCCTGAGCCATCTTTTAACTTAATTGAATACTAATTTATTGTTTTATTATTTTACTTACAAGCTGTGACTCTAAGAAAAACAGCTCAATCTTCATGTATGTGCTTTGAAGTTAACCAGACTCAGCATTTTAATGCTATTATTCTGTATGAGATGGTGATCCTGGTGTGAACTCCACTTCCTTGAGGGGGAGATAGCTGGGCTTGTTTCTTAAATAAAAAGGGTTTCAAATGAACTGTTTTTGTTTAGTTGGTTTTGTTTGTTTTAAGATAGGGTCTCACGCAGCCCAGGCTTGCCTCCAACACTCTGCAGTTGAGTCTGACCTTGAACTCCAGATCCTCTAGCCTCTGGTTCCAAAGTGCTAAGATTACAGGCATACATCACCACACACAGCTTATCTACAGTACATATGAGAAAAATATTAAATGTCTTTTATTATTATGAATTAATACACTGCCATTTTCTTTTATAGATCGTTCACGAGAAGTCTTGGAGCAATTAGTAGGATCAAGAAAACTAAAGCAAGTGACATGGACTGTTTATTGATGTTTACCAAAGTCTATCAAAGTTATAAAAGCTTACCCAGGAGCATTTCCTTCTCCTATGAAGGTTTTAAGCTGTTATATGAGGTATTACTAATCGAAGTCTAAATAAACATGTATTAAAAGCATAATTAACCTTCTGAGCTACTTTCTGGCCTGTACCCCTAGGAAATATTTAACCAAAAGCAAAGTGGAACATCAGGCCTGTGACTTCACAGAAATTTATACATTGCTTTGTTTCACTGAAATCAACAATAAAGATACATCAATCAAAGTTAGCCACTCGGCTGTGTGTGTGGCTCAAGCAGAGCACTTGCCTGGCTTGCATGAGGCCTGGGTTGAAGAGCTGGATTCTCAGCATACATACAAAGAGGTGCCACTTAACATATACATACTCTGAAGCCCTTGTTCAGACACTCTTTTCATTGATTTTTTTTTTTCTTTTTGTCCATTTTGAACTCAGAGCCACACATATACTAGACAGGAAGCAAGCACATTTCACTAGCTTTTATGGATGCTCTTTCCAAGTACATTTTGTTTATCTGTGAGCTTTCTTCTTGACAAAATCATACTGAGAATTACGTGTGTATGTGTGGTACTGGGGAAACTAGAGTTTCATGCATGCTAACTAGGCACTGCACCACTAAGCTTTATCTCTGGTCCCAGAAATATATAAAAGTGATTGAATACGAAATACCATTATAGTGTTTACTGCCCAGCATGGTGGTACACACCTTTAATCCCAGCAGAGGCAGGTGGATCTCTGAGTTTGAGGCCAGCATAGTCTACATAGCAAGTTCCAGGCTAGCTGAGGCTACAGGGAGACCCTGTCTCAAAAAGACCCAAAACAAAACAAAAGATTCCTTACTAAAGTTCATTTGATTTATCATTGTGAAATAAACAGCAAGGTACCAGTTTTCAAATGAAAAGTCTTGGGACTGGAGAGATGGCTCAGTGGTTTAGAGCACTGGCTGCTCTTGCATAGGATCTGGCAACTAATAGCCATCTGTAACTCCAGTTCCAAGGGATCTGATGTCCTCTTCTGCCCACTGAAGACACTGTATGAATGTCATGCACTTAAGTGCAGGCAAAACACTTACAAAATATTTTTTTTTAATTTAAGTGTATATGTCTTTAGTGACCACAAAATCACTTTACTGATGCTATGATTCAGTTACCCATAAAAAAACTCCTTATACCATCAGCCCTCTTTCACTAGTATTTTTATAAACACTTTTTAAAAGGTTTATTTTTAGTGTATGAGTGTTTTTCTACATGTATGTATATACACCACATGCATGCAGTGCCTATGCAGGTCAGAAGAGGGTGTCAGATCCCCTGGAATTGGTATTGCAGACAGTTGTGAGCTGCCATGTAGGTGCTGGGCACTGAATCCAGGTCATTTTTTTTTAATTTTTATTTTATGTGTATGCGTGTATTGCCTACATGTAGGTAAGAGCACCTGTGTCATGCAGTGCCTGCAGAGGTCAGAAGAGGCTGTTGGATCGGATCCCCTGGAACTGGATGGATAGTTGTTAGCTGCCATGTGGGTGCTGGGATTTGAACCTGGGTCTTCTGCAAGAACAATCAGTGTTCTTAACCACTGAGCCATCTCCCCAAAGCCCTTGTAAACATGTCCACTTTAGCCTAGCTGGTTCATCAAAATTCCAGCACTCAGGAGGCAGAGGCAGGAAAATAAAAGTAGAGGAGCCATAATAAAACTGTCTTGAGAAAATTTTATTTTACCTTTCATAAAGTAAAAAACAGAAATGTATAATATAGTAAATTTTTTCTATATGTTTATGAGAGTACATATTTAACCATTTCTTGCTGCTTTAGTTTTCTTTTTTAGATAAAACCCCAAAAGTAAAAACTAGGTTTCCTTCCCAAACCGTTGAATAAGTCATTTGTTCCCTCTCCAAAGGGATGGAAGGATATCATTTTTACCAGTTCTTATAGTTTGTTGTGGTTGTTGCTTTTTGAGACAAGCACCAGCTGGCCTGGAATTTGCTATCACCTCAATTTCACAGAGCTCTGCCTCTGGCTCCAGAATACTGGGATTAAAGGCACGTGCCACCATGCCCAGTTAATTCTTATAGTTTAAAAAAATTAATGTATATGAGTGTATGTACTTATATACTCCATGTATGTAAGTGCACCCATGTTGTGCAATGCCTGCAGAGGTCAGGCCCATCAGACCTCCTGGAACTGACATTAAGGTGGTTGTTAGCTGCCATGTGGGTGCTGGGAACTGAACCTGCGTCCTCTGCAAGAGCAGCCATTGCTCTTAACCGCTGAGCCATCTCTCCAGCCCCCAGTTTTGTTTTTTTTTAATACTTTATTTTCATTTTATGTGTATGAGTGTATTGCCTGCATGTATGTAAATGCACCCGTGTCATGCAGAGCCTGCAGAGGTCAGAAGAAGGTGTTGGATCCCCTGGAACTGGACTTAAGGACAGTTGTTAGATGCCATGTGGGTGCTTGGACTCGAACCCAGGTCCTCTGCAAGAGCAGCCAGTGCTCTTACCCACTAAGCCATCTCTCCAACCCCCATCCCCTAGTTCTTACAGTTTTAATCTGGAATGTCCCCCAAAAACTTGTGTCAAAGGCCTGATCCCTGGTGCAGTAATGTTCATAAGTGAATCATGAAGGCTGTGACCTCATCAATGGGTTAATCAACTGAGGGACTCATAGCTGAGCAAACTATTGAGAAGTGATGGAAACTCTAAGAGGTAGGGCTTTGTTGGAAGAAAAGGCCACTGGAGACGTGTCCTTGGAGAGTGTATCTTTTCACTATCCATTGCTTTCGCGGCTTCCTGGCCCTGTGAATTGAGCATTTGCCTCCACCACATTATTTTTGATGCCATACTATCCCACCTTGTTTCAGGCCAAACAATGGGGCCAGCATGTGATAGATTGACACCTCTGAAACTGGGCCAAAATAAGCCAATCCTACTTTAAATTGATTTTCTCAGGTATTTTGTTGCAGTAGCAATTCCTTATTTATCTTTCCAGAGATATCCTATTAATACTACAGGCAAATGTGCATTTTATATATATTTACATACATATGTAGATATACTTTTTTGCATAATTAGTTGTATATGATTCATATTATTTACATTGTTTTCACTTAAGGTACCATGCTTTATTGATATAAAATCCTGACAACCCAGGGTATGAAATGCTGACATAAACCGTTACCGACTTTAGTAAAGCATACAGAGCTATCCTAAGGTGTTACAGCAGAGTAAGTAGGAAGTTTCAAATCAGTTTTCTCTATGATTGTTCACTAAGGCCCTATTAAATACTAAGTACTCTAAAAGGGTCCTTATACTTTAGTGCAGTAACCATTTAAGGTGAAAGCCAGCCTGAGCTACTTAGCAAGTAATAGGCCAGACAGAGCTACACAGTGATACTTTGTCTCAGAAAAATTTTTTTAAAAAAAAGAATTTAGCAATGGGCGGGGGGGGGGGGGGGGCTCCCCCCTTTAACCCCAGCACTTGGCAGGCAGAGGCAGGCGGATCTCTGTGAGTTCAAGGCCAGCCTGGTCTACATAGTGAGTTCCAGGCTGGCTGGGGCTACAGGGAGACCCTGTCTCAAAAATGACGAAAAAAAAGGAATTTAGCTCAGTTGGCAGGGTGCTTGCCTAGCATGAATGAAGCCCTGGGTTTGATCCCCAGCATTGCATTCAACTGGGTATGGTCATAGGACCTGTAATCCCTGCACTTAGGAGGTGGAAACAGGCTGATGAGGATGTTCAAGGTCACTCTCTGCTACTTAGCAAATTCAAGGTCAGCCAGTGATACATGAGACTGTCTCAAAGAAATTTTTTAAAAAGTAAAAAATTAAAAAATATTTAACCAGCCCAGTATCCCAGCTACAAAGTGGCAGTTTTCTAATTCCAAAGTCTTTGAACTCCATACCATACTGACTACATCCTTGAATTTTACATCATTTTTTTAAATGCAGTACTCTATATTTCATCTGAGTCAAAGGAATATAATTACAGGTATCTTCAACTACAGAAACAGATTCTGCTACAATGTCCTTAATTATTCTCTACCACTTTTATTACACATTACCCTTACTGGGTGTTGCCTTCTATAATTTCTAGAAGAGTAAATGTAGCCAAACAATCACAGGTGGAGAGCTGTCTGGTTGGTATGAACAGAAGTGCCTAGTTACTTGACAAAGGTTGAAAATCTTTTATATTTTGTAAAGACTTGCCATTTGACAGGAATTGCATTCTTTGAACTGTGGAGTATCTCCTACAGAGGAAATTTTTCAGGTCTGATCCAAACAGAACTATATTCATACTGGAAAGCACTTTTTGACAGTTCAGGGCTGAAAATCCCACACAGTGCTCGTGGTCAATCCATTGTTTTCCTGTTGTGTTGGCTCCGGAAGTATGTATTCTACTAGTCGGTGCAGTTGGTGCTGGATTCTGTGTCCACTGAACTGGGGTCGTCCAGGGTCACCAATCAGTACTCGGGTTCCGTAGGTCCAAAAGCAGTTCTCCAGCCACCGATGAAGACTCTCTGCAAGGTCTTCATCATAAAACATATCTCCAAGGACAATGAGGTCCCACTTACCTTGTTGCATATTCAAAATGTTTTTGGTTAAAATGGGAAAGGGATTCAGTCCATTCAATCTGCAATTTAGTACAACAGCCATTCCTGCAACTTTCCAAAACATACGATGAATCAGTCTGTTAGCATAACCAGTAAGCTATTTTAATTCCTTATTGATTAATTGAAATATTTGTTAAACTCCAACAAGAGTCAGTGAGATGGCTCAGCAGGTGACGATGCATGCAATGAGCCTGAAAACCACGGTTCAATCCCAGAATCCACGTGATGGTAGAAGAGAACCAACTCCCACCAGCTGTCCACTTAACCTGTACATGTGTGCTATGGCACAGTGTGCATGCATATAAACATGCACACACATACATGAATGAATGAATAAATAGATAAATAAATGTAAAATAATCTAGTATTTATTTCCTTTTGTTGAAATATTTTGTTGAAAGGTCTTTTTTGTTTTTAGATAAAGAAGTTTAAAGTTTATGCCAGTATCATGCCTGTAGTTCTAGGACTTGGGCAGCCAAGGTAGGATCACTGCACGTTTGAATCAGCCTGAACTACGTAGCTAGTGCCAAGCTGCCAGGGCTATAGCATGAGATCCTGTCTCAAAGAAAAACAAAGAGCCTGGGCATGACAGCACAAGCATGGAATCCCAGCACTTGAGAGCTGGAAACAGGAAGATCAGAATTTTAAAGTCATTGTTAGCTACATAACTAGTTGTGGTCATCCTGGGCTAGGTGAAACTCAAAAACAAAACCCTACTATATATATTGAATACAGAACAGCAATGGTGAGATTTTAGAAACATTTTCTGATACAAGTAACTGGGATCTGGTTGTTTTTGTATGTTTGTTTACTACAGATAGGGAAATAAGCCCTTGGACTTGATAGAGGCAGTAAGAACTGAAACCTCTATAAAATAGAATAGAATAGCTGGGTGTGGTGGCACACACATTTAGTCCCAGCACTCTGTAAGTTCAAGGCCAGCCTGGTCTACATAGTGAGTTCCAGGCCAATTGGGCTACAGGGAGACCTTGTTTCAAAAAGAAGCCCCCCCCCAAAAAAATGACAGAATAAAATAAGAGTCTTGGAGGGCTAGACCCTCTGTGAGGGCAGACCAGAAAATCCAGACTAAATAAAATCTTACCTGTCACAACTTGATGTTTTGTTTGTTTTTATTTGGAGATAAGGTCTTACTGTGTAGCCTTGACCTCAAACTCACTATGTAGACCAGACTGACCTTGAACTCACAGAGAGCTGCCTGCCTCTGTCTCCCAATTGCTGAGATTAAAAGTGTATGCCACTGTGAGACCAGGTACAACTTGGGTCTTCATAAAATAAATATTGCCCCTGAAGACACATGCCTATCTATCTTCCCTTGGATTTTGGTCAAATGAACATAACTTTCGAATTTCAGGGACTTCTCAACCCAGAAGCTAACACCCTTGCCCCCAGGCTGGTATCCCTCTGGGCTGTCTGGCAAACAAATCAAATCCTTTTGGGCAATCACACTGTCATTTCAGGCCCCAGATAAATGCCCCACTGAACATACCTCAGAATATCAGATTACAAAACACATGGCAATCAGCTTTCACAATAAGCATTTCTATATATTTACTCTGAAAGGGAAAAAAGATGAGCCTTAAGTGTTTAAATATGAAACCCTTACTGGGGTCTATGTCGTTGGCCAAGACCTTGGCTGCTCCGCCCATCTTGGCAGCAATAGCTGTGGCTCCACATCCACTTCCAAAATCTAAGACAGACTTTCCTCTAACAACATCTGGGTTATCCAAAAGATACCTAAAATTAGAAAGGAGAAAACTCCTCAGAGTTTTTCCTCAGAGGAAATGGTCAGTATCAGTAAATATCAATAAATAAATAAAATAAATACTAACCGATAAATAAAAGTATCTTTAGGTTGAGTTGATTGGGTAAAAAATAGAACTTAAGTAAGGCCTGGAGACAGATCTGTAATCTCAGTTACTCAGAAGGCTGACACAGGAAGATCAAAAGTTCAAGGCCAACCTGGGCAACTTAGTGAAATCCGTCTCAAAGAGTAAAGGGCTGGCAAAGATGGCTTAACAGGTAAAGAGGCTTGCTGCCAAATCTGACAACATAAGTTGAATCTCTAGGATCCACATAGTAGAAGGAGAGAAGCAACTCCTGAAAGTTGTCCTCTGACCTTGATCTTGTTGAGAAAAAAAATGAAATATCTTGATGAATGCTGTAAGAACTCTGCATTTTGATAAAAAACTCTGTTTAAAATGTTGATTTAGATTTACTTGCTAAGCTTGCCTGTTCTGCCTGATTTGTATCTACCACACATGGATGATTAACCTAGTTAAAATGCTAAGAATTAAAGTGCTGTAAACCTCCTTCCTGAACCCTGGACCCTGGACCCCAGACTCAGTTGATTTACAATATGTCCTGTAGGCCTGTTTGCACATACCAGATAACCGATAAGGAACAAAGAGAAGGAAATTGCACCAGGCTTACACCAGATCTAGCCTTCCTAGAAAAGATGTTTAACCGAAACTATAGCTTTTAAAAGATGTTTAATCAAAATGTCTGCTGAAAAATGCTTTTTATATAATAACTATGTAGGCCTATATAATCTATATCTAAAACTAAATGGGGGTCGATCGTTCTAACCAGACTTACATGTCTTGGGAAACCGGTCGACCCCAGCCGGCTAAAAAATAAAGACTCTGCTTGATTTTTACATCTCCAATCCCATGTATTTGTTATCTAGAGGGGACCCATCGAGTCACGGACCCTAACAATCTCTACACTCACAATAGCATGACTGAGGAACCCACACAAATAGATGAAGGTATTTTTTTAATCCTAAAAATAAAAAGTAAAAAGAAAGCTGGGGCCGGACGTGGTGCATGTGCGAGAGAGAGAGAGAGAGAGAGAGAGAGAGAGAGAGAGAGAGAGCACAAGTATGGTGGTCCTGTGATCTTAGTACTCAGGGGACTGAAACAGGATTGCCACAAGCTCAAGGCCAGCCTAGGATACAGAGCAAGTTCCAGGCCAGCCCAGACTAGAGGGAGATTTTTATGGAGGCCAGGCAAGAGCACTGGATCCCCTGTAACTGAAATTACTGACACTTGGGAGCTGCCAAGTGTAACTCAAGATCGATTCAAACTCAAAATCCTATTGCCTCAGCTCCAGTGTTGGGGTAAAGGGGTGCAGCATCATGCCCAGCTGTAGTAAGTTTTTTTAGAGATGCCTTTGTCTTTCCAGAAGACAAACGCTCTTCTACTTTATGAAGCAATACAAACCATGCACAGGATGGGACCTGCACAAGCCCCAGATACTTTCGGGTTTGGCCACAGTAATATAGGGCCCAGAGAGCATGGGATGGGGATGGGAGGGGATCTGTGACAGCCTTAAAGGTTACCATTTCAGTGGGACAGTACCTAGATAGGGCCTGGCCTCCTGGCCAGTAGATTGCCCAGTAGGGATCACTGTAGGGCCACAGGTCAGCCCTTTCCCACCAGAATTTGCACTTGGGGGTCAAAAGCCGTAACTGGATTTCAGGGGTGAGGCTGCCACTGCTGGTCACTTCAGTGTTGTCCTCCACGAATGCTTTCACCTTGGGGTCCAAGTAGCTTCCTGCTGTTCTCCAGGAAAACAGCGGGAACCCGCTGCTCACAGGCTGCAGGAGATTCCAGCAGCCCCTGGGAGCTTTCCAACCCAGGCTGAAAGCCATTATTCTTTCTCCAAACCTCAGTTTCTGTAGCATGACCATTAACAAGGCTTGCTCCTCATGCAGCCAGAAGGAGGCTCTGGCTCTCCATTAGTTGACACTGGGATTTCTGGATCTCTACAAATAACAAAATACTGAATATTCTTAGTCTAGCCAACATATCCATATGCTACTATACAGTAAGAAAATAAGCTAGTGTGAGTTCTGGACCTAACTTCCTAAGTGAAGTTCACATCCAAGGAAAGCTTTGGTGTATCAACTTGGGAGAAAAATCTATCTTCTGTTGTCTTTTTGCTATAAAATCCTTTTAGTAACTCAGGATGACAACGGGCATTTCGTTTTTCAAGAATCTTCAGGAAAATGCCTGTTAAAAAAGTAAGGTGTATCTTTTTTGGTTGTTTTTTGAAACTGGCCTGGAACTCACTATGTAGACCAGGCAGACATCAAACTTGCAGTGATCCTTCTTCCTCTGCCTCTTCAGTGCTAGGATTATAGGGATGTGTCATCACATTTTTTTTGTAATAAAAGGATATTATCTCCTAAATTTCCTGTCAATATTGATTCAACTTCACAAAGCCTGAACTTAAAAGATTTATTTAAAAAAAGAAAGAAAAAAAAGTGATGGGGAGATATGGGAGGTGTTGGAAGGGAGGGAGTGGGCATGGATTTGATCAAAACATTTTATATGCATGTATGAAATCCTCAATAAAGTTTTTGTAAAAGTTAAAAAAATAAATAAAAATATTTAAACCATATATTAAAAAGATTTACAAAAAAAAAAATATAGCAATTACAGTGTGCATCTATAGTAGGGTATACGTCCCAAGGGCCAAAAGGGTTACAGAGAAGTTTCAGACTCATCCAAAAGTATTATTTTTAATAATAATTATAGCAATAAGATTGTTAGTAACAATATTATTACAATTATGTCATTATTTGGGGTCTAATATATTTACATATGCATATTTTAAACTAATCTGAATTTTAACTATGTACAGTTGAAATTATAATACAGGTAATTTATTATAATAAAGATAGTGACGAACTACAACAAAAAAGATTTATAGTCCAGGGGCTGGAGAGATGGCTCAGCAGTTAAGAGCCTCTGGCTGTTGTTACAGAGGACCCAGGTCCAGTTCCCAGCATCCATATGGTGTCTAACAACCATCTGTAACTGCAGTTCCAGGGGATCCAAGGCCTTCTTCTGGCCTCTGAATGCAATGCTCTTGGTGCAGGCAATACACTTACACACATAAAGTAAAAATAAATTTAAAACAAAGAATTATAATTTAAAAGAAACACGCCTTGGAGAGTAGGGATGAGGAACGGCATCTCAAACACTAATCACACAGTTGTTTAGGCCTCTAATCTGTTTTGGATAAAATTTTTGTATTGTTTTTGGTTTTGGTCGTTTTGGGATTGTAGGCTTAGTGTCCACACGACTGCTTTATGGTCATTGGGGATTGAACCTAGGACTTCCTGCATGCTAGACAAGTTCTCTACCAATTGAGTTTTAAGGGTTAAAGCAGGGCTATGTGGGATTACTTTTATTTGATCATGTCTTCACAGCACTAATGAGCGTTCCGCTTTGAAGCAATCTTAATGGTGAATGAGGTACACAGATCAGGAAGAACACGATTTAAAAAAAAAAAAAAAAAAAAAAAAAGGGAGTGGGGTGAAACGCAAGCCAGGCGCGTGGTGCGGGCCAGGCACACCAGGCTCCGGTAGGAGGGCCGGCCAGTCTGGACTAGCGTCTCAAAATAAGAAAACAATGCCGGGCTTGGTACGCAATCCTGTAATCCCTTGGGCGGCTGAAGCAGGAGGAGTACCTCAAATTTTGAGCAACCTGGGCTACACAGTGAGACCTCAAAAAAACCAAAAAGGTTAAATTCCAAAAAGTGTTTATGACCCGTTACTCTGCTATGCAGGGAACTCGCCTATCTTCAAGTGGCAGCGCAATCCCTGTCGTTTTACCTGGCTTTGCACAGGGCGCTCGGCCACTCGCCCTAGCGATTCCTCCGGCAGAAAACGCAGGCCCCTTCCCGGAGCGCAACGCGGAACCCGCAGCGGGAGAACACGGGAACGCCGGAACGCGGGAACCCGGACTGTGAAGGCTGCGGACCGCAGTGCAGGGGGAATTTAAAATGGATGGAAAGCTAGAGACAGCGCGGAACCAACTGAGCGTGGAAACAGCGGAACGCCAGACCGGTGGAACCCGGGGGAGCCCGTCAGCAGTAACACACTATTTATATAAGGCAAATGGGGCCGCACTGGGGGCTGCTACTAGGAATAGAGGCGTCATTCTCCTTGGAGACTTATGGACAGGTGAAAAGCCATCCAGAAGGCAGGAGCAGTGGGCTGAAGGGTTAGCTCTGGTAGAAATGCTTGTGCTGTGATGAGTGTGTGAACCTCAGGAAAGCCATAAGCTTCATTAGAGGAGACCATAAAGGCATAAAATCATGAGAGTGGCTAATCGGCTCTAATTGTAGAAGTATAAAGTTCCCCAAGTGACCAAACGGATATAGATTGGCAGTTTGGCCTTGCTCACACTTTGTTAGTTGGTCACTCCCAGGACTGAGATTGTGGAGCCCACCTGTCTCCTCTAGGATCATAGATAAACCTGCCAAATCTGAGGAAATAATCTTAGGAAGAAAGACCCCCCCAGATCACCCGAAGACACCAAACCTGGGCACTAATTCAACTCCCTACAAAGTGCAGCTGTGTCTCACAACTTCCTTATAAAAACCCCCCGTTTCTTTGTCACACTGTAGATGCTTGATCCGGTAGTAGTGTTAGGGGAAAATCAGAGACCAGCAACCAAAGGCAGGTGAGGAGAGGGATTTAATTTAATTTAATTTTACGGATCCTTCCATAAACAAGCCAGTACTCCCCCCCTCCAGTTTTAGGGGTTTTTATATTCATGTGAAGAAATAAAAGTAAAAGACAAAACAGCACATAGGTGGCAATTAAGTAAAAGGTACATGTGATAATTAAGGTAATGTATGGCCACAGGGGTTACAAAGACTTCCTTCCAGATCCACCATAGGGGCCAGGATGAAGACTCCAGTTTATCTCCCCAGTCTTGTCTCTTGTCTAGGAGCTCTTCCTGCCCCAAAGTTCTTAATTACCATCACATTGCAAAGCTTTCCACTTCCACAACAGTAGCTTCTACCTCTCACTGTGTCTTCTTTGAATAAAGGAAGATATATTCCTTGCCTGTTGCAGGTCTGGCTCTAGTTTTCTTGTCTTTTACTCATCCATCTTTCCTTTTATTCTCCAAAAATCTAACACCCAGCAGGGGAGGTTGCAGGGGAGTGGGAAAGCTATAAATACAGACTGTTAAAAAATTATTACATTATTTTTTCTGTGTGTGTTGTATGAGGGGCACGTGTAGCAGCCAGAGGACAACTTGGAGTTGGTTATTTCCTTCCACCATGTGGGTCCTGGGTACTGAACTCAGGTTGTTAGACTTGACAGTAGGTGTGGGGGGGGGTGTAAAAATAAAACCTCTTTATCCCTTTGCCAGTTGATGGTGTAAAACATAGCTGATGCTCCAAAGAGAATAAAAGCTAGTTTATTATGAGCCAAATGTGAGTGACCATGACCCAGAAACACAGACTCAGGTTACCCTGCATGATATGGTCCACCTTGAAACTGCCTACATGAACTTTCACAGGCACAGAACAAAAGGAAATTCTAAATTAAGGCATTTTCTAAATACACTGGTGGGCACATCAGGTAGACAAGTTGTAGCAGAGCAAGAAATCTCTTGTATAGGTTTCGGACGCTGTCTTATAATGTTAGGGTCCGTGACTCGATGGGTTCCCTCCAGGTAACAAATACACGGGATTGGAGATGTAAAAATCAAGCAGAGTCTTTACTTTCCAGCTAGCTGGTGTCGACCGGCTTCCCAAGACATGCAAGTCTGGTCAGAACAATCGACCCCCATTCAGTTTCAGGTACAGATTATATAGGCCCACATAGTCATTACACAAAAAGCATTCCTCAGCAGACACTTTGATCAAACATCTTCTAAAAGCTATAGTTTCGGTTAAAC